AATATTGATTCTACGTCCTTTCATTTCGCATTATTGTAGCGTCCACCACTTGTAAGCTATTTTAATACATTATGACTGCGAATATTGGTCCATTAAACAATTTCAAAGATAGTGTTTAACTCATTTCTTTGAAAATTTACCATATATCGATATACAAATATTCGTATATTGCCAGACGGAGGGAAACCAATCAGGACTCCCTTCCATATTACAAATTATCCAGAATCCCCGTAATATACATAGTTTTTAATTCATTCTCCTGCTTAAGGTGACACTAGTCGACATTATTTCCATAGAAATTTCGGAGGGGTTTTGCTGTTTGACAGTGTACATCAACAGTACAAGTGACAGTTAAACATGATATCGTTTTGTCTCATTATTAATTTTGTCTTTACGGAAACATAATAGTAAAATAAAAAGTCATTAAAAAGTTACGAGCTATCAAAGATTCGTTTTTATTGCCAATTTTAACACAACTTTGGGCGTAAATTAGTAATAAAAGCAGTGTAAAATTTCCAAGACAAAGTCGGTACCGACACAGCTCAATTATCGAAGAATTCAATAAATTTTATTTGTAATTGATTTATGCAGTGGTTTTATCATAAAACCCCTTCTTCCAAAGGCCTTTTCGTATTTTTTTACGCGCGCGTGTTTATATGAATTATCGTGCATCTCACTGAATAATGTTTCCCCCGGTGCGGTGCGGGAGGACGACACTTACACACACATGCATGCGCGGTGACGCGCGTTTATTCTAGTTTTATTCGACTCAGTCAGCTGCGGCCTGTGACGTTCGTATGACTATAGCTATACCTGCGCTCTAAATTACTACGCTACATTGACCCCTGCTTGAACTTTGGATTTCGATACTACTCTGTTTGGCATAGAAATTGATATTATTGAAAGAGATGATGCGTTTTGGACGGCCAAAATTTTAAAATTAGATAGCTTTTATCAGAAATGTGTTTTGCCGGAGCTGATAGATCCCCGTTACCCTCGTAAACTACAATTTAGAGATCGAATGTAAATCAAATTGATATAAGCACAGACAAAAATAGCGGAATATAAATAAAATTTTGAAAAAAAAAAACGATCTCAAAATTTTATTAATGTTCCGCTAATTTTATCTGTACTTACCTATGTCAATTTGATTTTACATTCGATTATAATTATATTCTCAGACGTGCAGGTTTCCTCAATATGTTTTCCTTCACCGCCGAGCACGTGGTAAATCAGCACAATTGCAATTAACAATTTCATTGGTGCCGGCGGGGGATCGAACTCGGGTCTGCATGTCTGAGAAATTAAAAAGTATATATTTCGAAGACATGTGAAGTTCGTCAACACGCATTGAGGCAGCGTGGCGAACATTTCCTTGCCTTAAAAACCCTCTCAGAAATTAGAGGAGGCCTGTGCCCGGCAGTGGGACGTATATAGGCTGTAACTTTACTTTTTTTTTACTTTTATAAATATATTATTTTACCGACGAAAATTTTAGAGAAAAATAAAAAATAAGCAACCGACAACCTTCTAGGTCCCTAGGTGACTTGCGAGATGTCTATGTAACAAAACAAAACGGCCCAGAAAGACAGATTTTCCAACTGATAGCTAAATCAGCACGCAACAATTTCATTGGTGCCAGTGGGGATCGAACCCGGGTTGCTCCCGTACTGTGATACTTATAACGAGCGCTAACCATGTGAGCAACCACGGCTCTCAACGACATCGTTCCGTTCGTGTACAGCGCTGAAGATAGCAGAGTAAAAAAATTAGAAATTGTGGTGTTTGAAATTTGTCATCTATGAGAGTGAATTTTATCTGTGTACTCTGTAACAAATAACTATATAGAAAAAAAATGTGAAAATGACATTTCGCCATTTTTGTTTGTGTACTGGTTAGGAACTCGATCAAAAATTTGATAATTTTTCTGTTTTTATACGTTATTTCTAAAAAAAATGTGAAAATGACTATTCGCCGTTTTTGTTTGTGTACTTGTTAGGAACTCGATCAAAAATTTGATAATTTCTCCGTTTTTATACGTTATTTCTAACGTTATTTTACATCAAATTAATTGTGAAGATATTTTCTTTTGGAAATATGTATCATTACGACGATTCAAAAACGTTTACATATAATAATTTACCTCGAAAGTTACTATACGCGATTATCGTTTATTGATTATATGTTGTTTAAAAAGTATTCTTATCAGTTTTTTGTGTTAAATGGATGCTAAATATAAAAGAATGCTTCAGTATTGATAGCAATTTATTAACGAAATATCTGTTGAGATGTGTCTAGAAATTATTAGTACTTATTTTTATTTATTTATCAAACTAATAAATAAATAAAAATAAGTATACATTTATCTATATTGAGTACTAGTTGTTCCCCGCGATCTCGCCCGCGTGGAATATGGATTTCATGGGTTTTAATTTTTTTGCGCGGAATCCTAATTCTTTTTCTAAAACAAAAGTAGTTCAAGTTATTCCTTATATCATCAGCTATCTGCCAGTGAAAGTCCCGTCAAAATAGATCCAGCTGTTTCGGAGATTAGTTAGAACAAACAGACAGACAGATAAAATTTTTAAAAATTGTGTTTTTGTTGAATAAAACTAAATTTACGGATTTTATCGCGTTTATTTAACTACTTTTACTTATTTTTAATTCCCGACGTTTCGGGTGCTTTACAGCAACCATGGTCACGGGGGGGACTGAGATGTTTGACGTCCCAATGTCATAGGATTTCCGGCTACCTTCAGTTTTTGAATATTAATTTTTGGTCCGATTTACGCAAAACGAGCTTATAGTATCATGAAGTCTTGCAGTGGTATGCTTAGGTTTGGGTGTAATTTTGTTAATTATAGGATCCCAAGCAGGTGGCAGCACCCATCCATCTTCTCTATTGAAATTTGGACGTTTTTTAATTTCAATAGCCTCGCGTATCATCCTTGGTAGTAATCGGTGTTCTATTGCGAGAATTTGTGGTTTATCAAAACGAATGTAATGGTGGGGACGATCTTGAACATGTTCGCAGACTGCAGACTTCCCGCGTAAATTTAAGAAATCATTTTGTGTTTTTGTTACTAGTACTTTCATATGCATTTAATAAAAAGCTGTTGTTTTAACATTACAAACAGACACTTCAATTTTATTTATTTGTAGATATAGATATAAGATATTATTCATATTGGTGTCATTTTAAAGGGAATATCATGTACTATTATAATAATAAAATAATTGTCTCCAGTAAATATTATACTTTTCTTGTAAAACTCGAAATAAAAAATAAATACGATTTATTTTTATATCCCCATATGCTTTATTTTCATCCTTTATTTTTTATTTGACCAATTTTCTTTTAACAAAATTAAATTCTGAATTCGTTGAGCTTTTTGAGAATATTTTTATTTGAATGTTAGGTAGGTACCTATATTGGTTTTTCAGTAGTAATCGTTTTTGTTGCGACAGTCTCGCGCGGTCGTAAAAAAGTTACTGCGCGGACAGGTGGGACGAGAATCACTTGCGCGGCGTTGACGGTTCGGTGGATAGGTACCTACCTACTGTTATTACCTAAATACCCATAACCTACTATACAACAAAATTTGACAAACTGTCGCTGCGTCGTGGACACTAAAATGTAAACTGCCTACCTACCTGCCTAAGTACGTCGGTACTAAGGAAACAGTCTTGACGGGTCACTTGTCTTGATAAAAACAGTGTTTACATCTAGTGATATTGTGTGTATATAAAAAAAGTAAGAAGACAGATAAGTATTTTTGAAAACAATTTATAGGTAGGCAGAACTAATTACAATTATTATCTAAATATTATAAATGCGAAAGTTTGGATGGATAGATGTATGTTACTCAATCACGCCAGAACAGCTGAAGGGATCTGGATGATATTTAGCTCAGAGATAGGTTATACCTAGTCTAGAATAACACATTTGATACCGTTTATTCAAGTATTTCGTTCCTGTGGGATAATTTTCGAGTTCACGCGTTTGAAGCCGCTGGCAACAGCTAGTACGGATATAAACTGCGATGACTGTTCCAGTTCATACTTCGGCGTCGTGAACTCTTGAGTGATCGCTTCATGACGACCCGGGGAAAACTAAACATAATAAAATAAGCAATCTATATTAGGTATCTATAGAGCCATAGAGGTATAGTATAAAGCGATAACGCAGCGCCTAATAATTTAGTACGAGTGGCACGATGCCAGGTGAGACAACGTGCTTTTTGGCCGCGCCCACCAATGAGTTCGAGCCCGCGACTTGTGCCACCTACGCAATTCCTTTGTATAGTGCGTCGTTGCCATTCTTATTAGTTATTCCGCTTTGTCATATTTTATTTATAGGTGAAATTTTGTTTATGTAGGTATTCGATAGATTCTTATAGTCTGTTTTTTTCGCAGGAGACAAAAATAACAGATATTTATTAGATTCGTTTAGCACGAATAATACAGTTTTTATGATTCTGGTTCAGATTAGATTTAATTTTAGTCACTTAAATTTCGTATATTGTTCAAAATAATGAAATAAATCCACAGAATCTGCAGTTACGAAAAAAAGCAATATCATTTTAGTCTCCGGCGGAAAAAAAATATATATCATGATTAATTTACTAACTAGTTATTCGTTTACTAAATACGAAAAAAAAATATTTAGACGTCATTTTTCTTCCAATCTTGCTGTACTGAATATTTACGTAGTCCTTATATTAATAATTATAATTGCATAAGTTGATACAAAATGCTATGCAATAGCTTTACCGCGGCAGTCCCCGAGTGCCACACGTCTTTTTTTTGTTTCTTACATTTATTCATTTAGTATAGCCTAACAAAAGTTATCAGCTTAATCAAAGCCTTTCTGACATATACGTGAGTAGTACGGTCATCCAACCAGTAATAAACGAGTGTTACAAGACAGCGGTCGTTTCATTGCATTCACAAACATATCATTGGCGACGAAGAAGGAGTACCCACAATTAAAAAAAAAAATGGCTTATCTGGGAAATCTGCCTATTTTTGACCATAAGTCAAGTGAATGGTCAATTTTCAAAAGCAGACTAACTCAGTTTTCGAACATAAATCGCGTCGAAGAAGTGAACAAAAGTGGAATTCTTCTCACCCATCTTACGGATGAAACGTATCGCTTGGTACGAAACTTAGCGTACCCGCAAGACTTAGAATCTCTAAGTTACTCGAATCTCGTTAAATTACTCGACGGTCATTTCAAGCCAAAAAAATGCTCATTTGTGGATAAAGAAAAATTTTTTGGAGCAACCAGAAATCCAGGCGAATCATTGGGAGACTGGGCAGCGCGATTGAGAGGTCTCGCAAGCAATTGTGACTTTGGCACTGCCTTGGAAACGAATTTAAGAGATCGTTTCGTCCTCGGCCTGGGCCCTGGCCCGGAACAAGATAAGTTATTCGAACAAGATCCGTCCACATTGACACTGTCAGTAGCTATGGAGCTAGCCGAGCAGGCGGCGTATGCCAGGCGGGCGAAGGTTATGTTGTGCACCAGCGAACATGCTCCAATTAAGGAGGAACCGGTATACCGAGCGAAATTTCAAGGTCAAGGAGACAGCGGCGCGGTTATACGGCGTCCTAATGCTGGCAGGACATCAGGAGGTCCGCGACCAACCGAGAGATTTTTCTCGTTGTTCGGTCTGTGGCTTGAAGAACCACCAAAGTGATAAGTGCCGTTATAAAAGTTACAAATGTCAAAAGTGCGGTGAAAAAGGTCATTTAAAGAAAGTGTGCGATAGTATCAATAGATCGCGGATGTACCATATCGAGTCGGTAAGCGAACCAGAGCAGGTCAAGGACACGTCTTGTGAGGAGTGCCACAATTTTAATTTGAGGTATGTGACTGATAAGCCCATTTCAATTGATGTAATAATAGGTAATCAGTGTATGACAATGGAGCTTGATTCAGGATCAAGTAAAAGTGTGATTTCTTATAATACATATAAGGAAAAATTCTTAAAATATTCATTACGTAGTAGTTCTGTAAAAATGTGCTTATATAACGGACACAAGATTGATCCATTAGGTTATATTACTGTAGAAACTAGTTACAATAATAGTACAAAATTGATTAAATATTTTGTTGTCAAAAATGGGGGACCGCCTATACTAGGTAGGGATTTCATGAGCGCCTTTAATTTTGTGATTACTACTAAATTAAATTACATAAGAAATGATTCCGAATTGCATGAGTTATTAAATAAATATTCGGCGTTGTGGCGTGACGAGTTGGGCGCATTTAATAACTTTAAAGTCAGTTTGCAGTTGAAGGCGAATGCTGTGCCTAAGTTTTTTAAACCGCGTACTGTACCCTTTGCCCTCAGAGATAAAGTCGAACAAGAGCTAAACCGATTAATGCACTTGGGTATCCTTGTTCCTATTAATTATTCTCAATACGCCACTCCCATTGTGCCAGTTTTAAAAGATAATGGCCAAGTTAAAATCGCAGGTGATTTTTCTATTACATTAAATAAGGATCTCATAATAGAAAAATATCCCCTGCCTCGAATTGAAGAGGTTTTTGCCAAGATTGGAGGGGGTGAGCACTATAGTAAAATTGATTTAAAAAACGCTTACAACCAGTTCGTCCTAGATGACGCGTCTCAGGAGCTCACGGCAATTAATACGCATAAAGGACTTTTTAAATACACTAGGTTAGTGTACGGCCTTTCTAGTGGTCCAGCCATTTTTCAAAGGAGCATGGAGACACTCTTATCAGGAATAGACGGGGTAAGCATATGGCTTGATGACATTTGTGTCACGGGCCCCGATAGAAATTCCCACATGCAGCGGCTAAGTAAAGTCCTAGATAGACTATGTAAGGCAGGCCTACGTTTACAAAAAGACAAATGTCAATTTTTCAGAGAAAGCGTCAGGTATTTGGGTTACGTGATTAGTAAAACGGGATTAAGGACTTGTCCGGATAAAGTACAAGCCATTCTTAGTGCACCGGAACCAAATAACGTCACCGAAGTTAAAAGATTTCTAGGAGTAGTCAACTACTATAGAAATTTTATTCCAAACGCCTCTTCTGTACTGAGTCCTCTACATGAGCTATTACGTAAAGATGCAAAATGGGAATGGGGAAAACGGCAGCGACAAAGCGTCGCAGCGATACGGCACGAACTGGCGTCAGAACGCGTGTTGGCTCATTTCGAGCCAGCGGCGCAGCTAGTGCTGGCGGTGGACGCCGGCCCGACCGGTCTCGGCGCCGTACTCTCACAAAGGGCGGAGGACGGCATCGAACGCCCGCTAGCGTATGCATCTCGCTCACTTACGAGCAGTGAAAGAAACTATAGCCAGATACAGAAGGAAGCGACGGCCATTATCTTCGGGGTCCGACGCTTTCATCAATATTTGTACGGTCGCGAAGATCCTTTTATCCTGAAAACCGACCACAGACCATTGGTATCAATTTTTAATCCTAAAACAGGTATTCCTGTTACTACTGCGCTAAGACTGCAGCGATACTCAGTTATATTGTCCGCTTATAACTATGTCGTACAATATGTATCTAGCGGAAATAATATTGTGGCCGATTACTTCTCACGCGCTCCTGTAAAATGCGTCAACGAGTCGTTGAACGATATAGATACAAACGATATAGACACTCATTATGCAGTTAGGTTTCTCGATGCGTCATCGCCGGCCACTTCGGCCCGCGACGTTGCGCAGACGACGGAGCGAGATAGGACGATTAAAACCGTGCTTAGGTACATGCAACACGGGTGGCCGCGTAAATTAAAATGTAAATCTATTTTACCTTATTTTCATTGCAAGTCCGATTTACAATATGAGAATGGTTGTCTTTTTAGGGGACATAGGATTGTTATACCACTCGGGTTGAGAGATAGAATGTTACGCGAGCTTCATGATTCTCATTTAGGAATAACCAAAACTAAATGTAACGCTAGAAGTAGAATGTGGTGGCCCGGTATTGACCGGGACATCGAACGCTGGATCGGATCATGTGCGACGTGCGCAAGCGTGCGGGCCGCCCCGCCGCGCGACCCCCCCGCGCCCTGGCCTCCCTCCACCGCGCCATGGCAACGAGTGCACATTGATTACATGACTGTAGGACAGAGGGTATATCTGGTAATCGTCGACTCCTACAGCAAATGGATAGATTGTCTATACATGCATAACGGAACCTCATCTAATGCTTTAATAACAAAATTAAAAGGCGTTTTCTCTAATTTTGGAATACCAAATGTTTTAGTGTCCGACAACGATGTAAAAATTAATTCACTCGAGTTTCAGACATTTTGTTCATCGAATGGCATAAAATACATGACGTCACCCATTTACCATCCGCCAAGTAACGGTCAAGCTGAGAATTCAGTAAGAACATGTAAAAAAATGTTAAAATGTTTATTAATTGACAATTTACCTTTGCACAAAGTTCACGACATGTTATTAGGGTACCTATTTAACTATAGAAATACCGTGCATTGTACCACGGGTGAAACGCCGGCAAAGTTAATGTTCGGCAGAAATTTGCGGTCGCGTCTCGATTTGATTTTACCCTTAAAAAATCATAATTCTAATTCACTTACGGCAGCCCGGAAAAGATCTTTTGAAATCGGCGATATCGTTTGGACCCGATGGTACAGTGCACGAAAAGAATCTTGGCAGTTAGGTAGAATAAAGGAAAAAATAGGAAATAAAATGTATAAAATTCATATTAGGGACATGGAGGTTTGGTGTATTAGACATGTGGATCAAATTATTAGATATACGGGTTCAGACAGTAGTCGCGACGATATTGTCGCTGCTGAGGAGACTCGTTGCCCCTCCACATCGCCGGCTACTGTAAATGCACATCCTCCCGCGCAACAGCCTATGTTTCCGGCTATAAGTAATACGGAGCAAAGTATGGAACAGGCTACGAATATGCAGACGGCTGAGCTGCAATCGCCCTCGAATACTGGAGCGCCGAATCTTGGTTCATCTGACCACGGTGAGGCAGAAGAAGTAAGTGACTGTGAGACTAGGGGAGTATGAAAAGGACAACATTGCCCCCGTAGAAAGGCCTATGGCAGAAACGGAGGCTGTGCCGTCCACAATTGGCGATTCCCATGTACCGCCAACATTGCCACTTTTAGCCACACGCCCGAAACGTACAAGACCAAGGGTGGATTATAAAAAGTATTTTTAAGTAGCGATTGTTAATTATAGTTACGCAGAGATCAAGTTCGCTAATTATTGTTAATAGTTATTATTAGTTGTTAAGTTTATGTAGACAAAAAATTTTTACTGTATTTAATTAAGAAACCTTGTTACCAGGTTCCAAAATTAAGTGGGGAGGAATGACATATACGTGTGTAGTACGGTCATCCAACCAGTAATAAACGAGTGTTACAAGACAGCGGTCGTTTCATTGCATTCACAAACATATCACTTTCCCCACAAATATATCTAGGTATATCTGGCATAGGGATATTAGTCGAAATTTAGGCGGTGCTACGGTCCCTCCACCGGTGTCAAGTTAACTGTCGGTAAACCGAAGTGGTGAAGTGTTTATACAATAGGGCTATGATTGGCTATTCGAGTACGGAACCAGAGTTCAAAACGTATCCAACTGCAGAGAAATGTAAGACAGGGTGACGAGCAGGAATTCTACAAACATAAATTACACAAAGACAAACATCCAAACCGAGAAAAATTATTTGTAGGCCATATAAATACTTATACCGTGCGGGATTCGGAGTTAATCCTTTGAACTTTTCACAACCTCATGAAACTATTATTCGTTTATTATTAGTGACTTAAGTGTTCTATGAACCAATTTAATAAATAGATACAGTCATATATATATATATATATATATATATATATATATATATATATATATATATATATATCAGTATATTATTAAAGAAAAATGTTTTAAATATGTGCCTTTAACTCCTTCCTTTTTCTTTTTTTTCTAAAATATTAAGGATTTTAGCTATAGGATCTTTTCCTGTATTGTGATAGACTTTTTACTTATATAAGTTAACCAAGGACTTACATCCAAACTCGGAACATTTATTTTGTAGGCCATTTAAATATATGTTCCGTGCAACATTCGAACCCGCAGCCCTCAGCTTCTACGCCGTACGCTAAGCTTATGCGCCGTAGAGCCATTTTTAATGCGAATTATAAAAGAAATTTTAACTTTATGACATAAAGACGTCCCCACTTAAAAAAGTATTTACATTTGTGAACTAAATTATATAATTTTCATAGCAAATATAGTATTATTTATTTTATATAACGTACGTGACGTTATAAATTTTTGACAGTACAAAAAATGTAAGTAATTGAACTACCTACATCTTCTGACAGGGGTTCATCTGGGTAGATACTATATCCTTAGCCGCGGAGAAAGGCACGCCTAGTTTTCTGGTTCTGGTAAACTTTACATAAATAAGAGAAGGGGTTGAGTTGTTCTCTCTCGAAGAGGGTCTGACATAGGATGGCCAGCGCTTTTAGGACAGCGGATGTGTGCGAAATTGTTTCCGTGTCCTTGGTAATGTGCGTCGAACATCATGGAGTTTTAAATGGTGTATGCTCTAGAATAAAATTATCTATTTGCTAGTCAGTAATAGCCTACTGCTGGACATTAACTTCTCCAGTTGTGCAAAGCTTTTGTCATAATTGCTGTACTTGTTTTTAATAAAAAAATGCAGGCTTTATACATTCTCTACTTACTCATTTCTGAAAGCGTAAAACTACATGCTCTAATGCGTAATAATGGACCTCGTACGTCTTTGAAATATTTTTAGATATGATGACATCGTTACGATTTTTATTCACTGGTAAGCCGTTGGTAAATAAGCCCACAAAACTGCAATTTATTTAATTAAATTGGTATTATAAATTTATTTGTCATAAAGTATAAGGTAAGTAAGGTTGTAAATATATACAACAAATGGTTTATTTTTGCTCAAAGTAGAAAATGTCTATTTTTAAATAATGTGGAAACAAACAATTCAATGCATTTTAAAGTATTCCCTAAACCGCTATTGTGTTGTAATTATTAATGAATTAGGGAGAATAAAAGGCTTTCGTTGTTATTTTAGCACTCACGAATTCAAATGTAACCTTGATTTGAGAACTTTGAAAAAAATCATATCCAGTTTTAAATTCGAAAACAAATAAAACGTTTAGAATTACCAATTAAAGAATTATGTCCAAAAATACATGCATTTTTACTGATATTAAATTATCGTCTACAGATTGATTGTAAGATTCGGTTGGTTTGCTTGCGTTTTGGCATAATTAACAGTATTTTCTCGGATTCTTTTTTGTCAGGCATACAGGCTGTGTTTCTTTTACCAGGAGAGCACTTTGTAAATCAGCACTTAAAATTGTAATTAACTATGTCATTGATGGTGGCGTGAAACATATAGCAGGCATGTTCCTTTTTATGTTATATAATTATGCTCTGAATTGTAATTATATTTCAATAATATGATTCGACGATTCATCAATCCGAACATGATTAGCTGATAAAAGTTGATCTAACTACGGATACACTTTAAACAATCTTACAGTAAAGCTGACAATAAATTTGACAGCTCCGTGGTGCAGTGCTCTGAGGAATTGTTCAGATTAATCCCAGCCGCAAAATTTCATGAACGCACTACGTAGCAAACCTTCCGATACCAACCATACCATCTGGATGCTTGGCGGTCCACCACTGTACGTTTCACAAGGAGTTTTCTTCCGCGTACGACCTCTCTGTGGAATAGTTTAGATTTTTCCGGACCGATATGACCTGGGGACCTTAACGAAAAGAGCTTACTCCTTTCTAAAGGGCCGACAATGCACATGCGATTCCCCTGGTGTTGCGGATGGATAATGGGCGGCGGTAGTCACTTAACATCAGGTGAACCGTATGCTCGTTTGCCCCCTCTTCTGTAAAAAAGCAGTGGCTTATAAATGGGTGGATTCGCTAAAGGCACAAGTAATTGTATGACCTACAAATAATTGTAGTACTCACGATTTGGATATTTGTCTTATGATATTTACATATGTAAACTACTTTCACAATACAGGAGAAAATCATAGCTTGGGTGTAACGTTTAAAAAAATAGCAAAAGCAGCCTAAGTATGTGTACCTGCATAATACTTCAAACGAAGAAGCTTACAGATGCAAGGTCATCTCTGAATAATGGAACGGACAGCCTTACGGGCTGTAATTTTACTGGCTCTCTATTCCAATGGCCTGTAATATGGCGATGTAAGTTACTGCTGCTTAAACTGGTAAGACTCTCAGCAGTAAAGGAATATTTAAAACTAATAATATGCTGTAAAAGTACATAAAATTAGGGGGAGCATTCCCTTTCTTCCATGTTCGAGGTTTTATTCCCTTCGTGTATGTTTTATGATTTATTTTACCTGGAAAATGAAATTTCACTTTTAATTTACTTATAAATCATTAAAATATTATAAATTTAAGCTCATTCTCGTCTATAGTTTTACGGCATTTCAATTATTTTATTTTTCTTGTTTTTAGTTGGTAAAAAGTAGTATACATGTCACACTATTCAATAGGGAAATTCACTAGTAACACAAGCTACAGTAGAATAAATTTTATGGCAACTTTGCAAAGCGTAAACACTATTCAACTGAATGGTTAAGGATAAAGTTTTATTTGAGGCTTTAAAAAACGGGCAATAACTTGAAAGGTCAACTAGTTAAGATAAAAAATTAAAAGAAAAATATATGAACGATTACATTTATTTTTTTCAGAAAACTCCACAATTGTAGTAAAAATAGCAAAAAAATTGTCTTGTACTTCATTTCTCGCTAGTGGATTAAATTCTATGTGCATAAGAAGCTTAAGACGCTGTGCGGTATATATGAACAAAATAAATATGACAATCCTTCAATATTTATTTAATAAATTAATGATCATAAAAGAAGAAAATAAACTTTAAATTAAATCAATTTATTACTTTACACAGTTTACATGATACAAAAGATTTTCGCGAGATTTACCTGTGTCCATAAACAAGAAAACAATATGTGATTTATAATATAAAATATGTGGCTATTGACATTAGTAGGTAACAACTCGAACTGGGGTGGTACCACGACCTCATAGAATATCAGCGTAAAGTAGAGGTTTACCTCTGCAATAGGACCAAGTCAACCCTGACACGCTATCCGTGACTTTTTGCAACATCAGCGGACTTCATTCCAATCTTACCGCTCTCCAATACCATCTGCAGACAACAAGGCCGGCCTTGCTCCTCAAACTCAGGTGTCCTCTCCGGCTGATACTTCATATCTATCCTACTCGGGGAACAAATCAGAACACTCCCTTGTGCCCAAGACTGGAGTTTGTGTTCGGACGGCAGTTTTGAAGGTGCCCTATCTATTCCATGGCTACTACCGAGTAGCTATGGAATAGATAGGGCACCTGTCTACGAGAACCATCTCGTAGACAGCGCCACCCAGCCTACAAGTTTTGTAACGTGGCTATAGAAGTAAAAACCTTGCTTTTGCTTGTTTAGCCAGCGCTTGACAACGATACCGTCTAATGATAAGTGGCGATGAAACTCTAAAACTAACTAGACGGGAAAATGCACGTCTGAGCGTAATAGAAGCCTATTCATTCTTACATAGGACGTACCGAGATTCTAGTCAGACATAGTCTAGTCACACAGAAAAACAGACGTCGGCAAATTATTCCATTAATTTCCTGTAGGCATTACCGAAGACGAAACATACCACTTGGTTCGATTGTGTAGGATATCGACAAAAAAGGTATTAACCCCCGCAAAACGCCTTGTAAGACAATAAATAGAGTAAGAAACAATATCTGGATGAACAAAAAAATTTTCACAAAAGTTGAATTAAATCCGGTTGATCACTAAAAATCTGCCGGCCGGACGTTCATGGTAAGTGTCGTAGAAGGTCATTAAAAATGACAAAACTTGGTCAAAAACAATTAACATTTTTATCATTTATCTAGTCCAGTTCCCAATATAATTTAAAAATTCTCTCTT